GGTTGCTTTTTCGCCGAAGATCGTCAGCTTTACAAGATTTTCTTACAACATCCTAGAACTTTTTTGATTTGACAAATTCGATACGGAAGGTCGCGCCTTAATTTGTCATAGGATAGGAAAGAATGCGTTGAGAAAAATGTTGGAAGGACATCTAAAAAGACTAGAACCACAAAATGCGTTTCTATAATCTGTTTACTACTATGTATATCAAATCAAATAATGTATTTTCCACCACTTTCCCTATGAGTGTTAATTTATAGGTATCTACATTTTGGCCGAAATTTGGTCGTCATGGAAAAGAAAATATCACAGTCAGAGATGTGCTAGATCATAAGGTCAGCCAAATTTGCTATCTCCTAAATTTCTTAATCAATGTTAAAGATGTCAAATTCAAGGCTGGACTCATAACATTTGGACGCGAGTTTTGCGTTGACGAGGCGAAAAATTCTGAACTGATCTCAAAACTAATTGAAGAAGTAAGTTTTTATTGATGCGCATAAGTTTTTGCTTCGGTTTATTCTTTTCGGTTTTTCGTTGTATATCACCTTTCTTCTGTTCCAATCCTTCCTTCTTCTAGGCAGAACCCTTATGGACCCCTGGAACAAAACGTGGTTATCATGCACTGTCTTATGGATTTCTAGTCGATGAGATGCTAAAACGTCTACATCCAGAAAAACATAGCATTTCAGAAATATACGAGGAGGAAATATGGAGACAAGGTCAGTGTATATCAACTTTTTTAAATTTTTTTACATTCAACAAATTCCAGGCATAACCTTTCACATTGGTAGACGACCGACAACTAGTCAACATTCTTTAGCAGTGATAACAAATGCGCCAGCATGGAAGTCAATACTTTCCTATCTACGAAGACCATTAAGGTAGGTAAGAATAATTTGAAAAATTATCAATCTCGCTTCGAGGAGTTGAGACCCTATATTCAGATTTGCCCATCTGGTCTGGAACCATTACAAATACGATGTTGATCTGAAGTCAGCAAACTATCCATATTTTCTTGCAATTATGAGAAGGGTATGGTGAAGTATAATTTCAAAAAATTTTCAAAAACAGTCAGATTTTGAAATTAATTCATAATTAATGTTATGTAAGTTCAAAAATTGGAAATGGATGAAATCTCTTGGAAAACACATCTACACTTCTTCGAAAGTTACAATTTCTGGCCATTATTATTCAACTGTTGAAAAAATTTCTCATTCTAGTAAATTATTGTCACACATTTACCAAAATAAATCAAAATTTTAATATCATTACAGTAAAAATACTTTCGCAAGCATTCGCGAATTTTTTACTCTTTTTTTAGAAGTCCATTTTTTCAGTGTAAAATATGAGTTTAGATTTTTATGCAGCTTTTGTCGCATTTACATTTTTCAACCATACTCAAACTAGGAGGTCTAAAATGTAGATATCGAATTTTTTAATCTGGATTTCTAGTGAAAAGATGATTTTGAGAAAAATAATGAGCACGCGTTTTACATGACTGGGTAACCAAAGGGACAATGACTAACCAGGATTTCCACGAAAAGTTTCTGACAAAGAAAGGATAGAAACTGAAGTTTCTCAGGAGAAATTTCTAAGTCATATCAAAAAGGTTTTGTGAGGACATCATGCCCTACAACGATGCATCCGTAACCGAACTGCCGTTGGTGAGCGTCATGGGAGTCGGAACTGCAGAAGGATTCGCTAGGGCAGTCCACGAAGTTTTCAAGGTGACAATTCATCTTTCACTAGATCGAAAACTACCGAAAATACGGACACTTATAGAAAGGATTGATCTCCGACAAAATTTGGAATCTCATAAGATCACCAACTGGTGCAGATGAAGATATTGTTTTGTCGAATCACAAGCCCTACGGACATGGCTTTTCGTATGCGCCACATCCCGTTCACAAGAAGGTGAGTTTTCTTCAATCTTGAATTCATACAAAAATTTCGTCAAATAACAGCTGCAGAACGATACGCGTCAAAGTTAGGTTCAGAAATTAGCACCAGCTAGCACGGGTCAAGCTGGATAGTTTTTTGGGGCAAAAAGGAAAAGGGACATTT